ATCAGCTCACGGTATAGAGCGACTTTCGCCCAAGTTCTTTCACGAGAGCATGGGTAAATATGACTCCTAGGGTTCACTAGTCTTGCTCAGTTTACGCAATACCTGGCTTATTTATGCACAAATTCTGCGTGACCTGCCCAGTATATACCTCATTTCTGCGTGGTTTACACAAAATCCACCTTCTTTCCGCGTCACTCAAAATTCCTCACCGGCGTCAGAACCGTTTCATCCATGTACTTGAATGCAAATTCCAGGCTGTCATTTCAGATTAGGTTCTAAAGCTTTCAGCATCCGCAAACGATTCTACAATGCACACTCCAGTGTATCCGACGCACCATACTCAGTTTCCCGCACATGCGGACCGACGTTTTCTGCCTCTTGAAACCGAATCCGTTGACCTTCGTGGTTTCTGCTGAACATGGACGAACCCGTAATCAGAACTGGGGAATAAAGAAACATCATTAATTGGTCGTCCACCATTTCTATCAAAAAGTATGGCTTGGTTACAGGGTTGGAAAGGGTAAAGTTTTGGCTTTGTGTATCAGGTAACTGGTTAGATGCTGAAGTACTTGTGAACAAAGCTCCAGCATTGAAAATGGCTACGTAAGTACCGCCAGTGACCGCCCATGAGAGATCTAAAGTTGTGACTGGTCTACCTGTTCAGCGGCATTGTCGACCAGGATTGTGTTACTCCTACGTTTTTGTTCGATTGACCATTACTACTGTCAGTAACTTCGTCCTGGTAGTCACTGGCCTTGAAAGTTTTCTGTTATCTGAGAGTACATTTTTTATCGTTCATTCTATTTTCAATTGTTTAACATGCGGATTCTTGGTCGTTCAACATAACGCTATACTACTCGTAGCGTATTTTAACTGAGGTGGGTCTGGCTGTTGCTTGGTGGAGACCATTTGTGTTTATCTTCCGTTCTGCCGCCTATCTACCTCCGCAAGTGGCACTTATTATCCGGTTTCAATGCAGTTGCATATGTAGCCGGGGGGACACGCTCACAAGTTTTACTCCTTTCTGTGCACATATTCATTGCTCCGAACATTTCAAGCAGCAGAAATCCATTTCTTAATTACAACTGATCCAAATTGGGAGCTCTGAATCTTCACACATGAAGGAGCCCAAAATTGAAGGAAGGGCGGAGTTTAGAGCTATCCAGCCCAACTTTCTACTGGAGATTGTCTGGTCGCTTTTAGTTTTTGATGAGTCGAATAATTCAAGCGCTTTTATATGTCACGAATTTGTTTCATCGTCATTTCTACTGTTGCCTTCATCAGTCATTTGCAGGAGGGAGTGAATCACCCCGGATAAACATCGTGACTGCATTCATGTGGGTAACCTCTCTGCTGCGGTGTCATGAAGTGCATAGAATACATAAAGCGGATATCTTTTTAGTGCCACTCGAGACTTTCTGACAAAGATTAGTGGTGGCCAAGCCTGAAGCAAATCCCAGGAATACCCCAAAACCTTCACGTCGGCCATGGTTATCAACAACCTTGTACCAAAGTGATCAAACCTGTAAACTGGTTTGTATTCATGTAACCTTTGTCGCATGAAATATATTATTATTATTATATTATTATTATTATTCTTTACCTTACTAACCTAAATTTCAGATAAATGGTTCCGTAGTTCGTAAGATATTTTTGAGCAGTGTACTTTCAATACCTACGTTGTACTTATCGCTCACCTTAAATCATTTTGTTAGACGGCTTTTTGTTTTGTGTCACTGGGACCGGGTAGATGTCAAGAACGTGGTTGATCGTGGTAAGATTTCGACCCACGCGTAACTATAGCTTTGGCGGGGCGAGCCAGGGTTTCTGTAACAGTTCTGGGCGGAACAGGTCTACGACGCACCATATGGCTCATGATCCCGTTAATCTAAGTAAGTCCAGGGACGCAACCGAGGATTTGGCTTGGTGGGTCACCTTTCGAGAGAACATGTAGCAGCGCGGACAAAGACTTCTGTAAACTCCTGATTTTTGAGAGACAGAACCAACGCCAAGCCACTTGTTGTTAGAAAACTTACGTGGCGTCGAGTATTCGTGAGACCTGTCACGAAAAGTCAATGTGAATAGCACGTCCGTAACTTGACATGCTTACGTAATGACGAACTTTACCTTTCGATACCGTTACTCATAGCCAACATTTTCGCGGTGACACTCAATCAGGAGGCTAGCTAACAAAACTGGTATCTCAGTTTGATGGAGATTAATCCTCATTCACGGAGCTCATAGTTACATTCCCTGGCGTATCCCAGTGTCTCGGTGGTACTACCACGATGGACTGTCACAAGATGGATGCGCAGTAGGATGACGACACATGACGTACTGATAAGATATTTCTGACTGTTAAGGGGGTGCAAACACCACAGTCATCTTTTGTTTTCACCTGAAGGCTATGGTAGAAAACAAAACACTTAAACAGTCACGATGTGGGGTGAATCTAGCATTTATCATGCAGTCTTCTTCTAATGGTGCACACTCCCAGCCTAAAAATGAAGAAAACTCATCGTCGTTGAATAAATGCGACACTCCGTGACTGACGTTCACCCACTGACAGCTCACCACAGGCATAAAGCGCATAAACCTCATTTTGAGTATTTCATGCGTACACACACACTTGTTTGTGCCTCAGGCCATGTGGACTGTAGTTTTCCATGATTTTTATGTACAGTCAATCTGATCGCAGGTACAGGTAGCCTAGGCAAACTGCGTTCGTCCCTTACACTGTTACTATGCCTAAACTGCTTGATCGGCTTTTTCTCAATACAGGCACTGTCGGCAAACACCTAAATTTGAACAAAAGATCCGACTCGAAATATCCAGTATCCGTATTACATGTCTTCTACTGCCAGTATATTTAATGTCGTAGGATCTGCGGGCGCTTTCAGCCTCAAATGGAAGTCTGGCTTGTGGTGTTTCCGTACCTCAGTTGCACACTTTCTGATCTGTTACAGCATTCGGATAAACACTGACCAAATTACTACAAAACCGGAGTCAAATACGGCAAACATCTGCCTGTGAAACCTCCAGTGCACCTCAGCCAACTGACACCTTCCTTTTAAGCGCTTTACCCGTGAAAGGAGGAGTCCGTGGCTTCTCCGAACTTGGCTGGAACTTCTGTGCCGCAATAGGGGGCATGGCAACCTCATAATTCTGTCTCCTCACATCAATATGCTTGCAAGTGGCTTTCTCTACAGATATCCATCAAGATTCGTGGCTTACTGAAGGACGTTTATTTTGTTGGTTTTGAAGAAGTTGGGTCTTTTATGAAGCCTACATGCTGCCTTAGACAAAGTAACCCACTCACTGTTTACCCGGTGAGTTCGTAACCTGCGTTACATTTGCACGTGATCTGTTATACTATAACTTTAACGTTACCAGCCGTTTGATATAGTACTTTTGAGCACCAAAAGTTACGTTTCGTTGTTCCTGCACAACGTGGTATTCTATATCGGCAATTTCCGCCGTACAGTAGATCTGTCTGTATAAAAGAAAGACTCGGAGCATATATAGCTTCTTATTCTCAGAAACTAAACTTTCTGAGCATCATACGCCTATTCTGGAACGTTAAAGAGACACCCACTTTGATATACACAGCGGAACCCAAGAAATTACTGAGAAAACAGGGGAGTCAAAACAAGGACTAACTTGAAGAAAAGTTATTTGTCTGTAACACTCAGTTTAATTACGAACCAACGCTGTTAGCTTCGAGACACAATAGTTCCGCAATATACGTTGCCTGAAGTGTAAAGAAACACTCGCTAGCAACTGTCATATTTGATACATAAGTCGTTGCTAAACCTTCTGTGACTTCTGGTTACTTCACTTGTTCTTCGGTATTGACGAACCCAATAAACGAGTAACTACTACTGCCACACCATGGTCCACCCTAACAAACGTATATGTGCTATATATACACCTAAACCTAACCCTAGCGCCTCAACTAAAAGAGCACGTTCACTAAGTGGTTCGACATCAAGCCATAAAAGAGGTCCTGAAGTTAAGGTAGTCGATCTCATACCGGAGCTATATAACACTTCGCGTAAAAACAAGGAAGACTTGATAACCCTCCAGAAGCAACTACAAGACATGAACGCTAAGCTTGAAGTTGTTCTACCACTGCTCCACCTTTGTCAGCCTAATCTAGAAGCCAGTACAGAAACCTTATTAAAAACAGAAAGTGTCCTAGATTTCATTGCTACAGAGGTTAATAAAAGGATTATGTCCTCACATAATGTATTAGTATACAACATACCTGACCACGAACCGATCAAGCAAGCAAAAGCCTTATGTCTGCAGGCTTGTAACATGTCTTCTACAGAATGCCAAGTTACCCGTCTCCGCAAGAAGTTGGGGAAATATACCTGCCCCTTGCTGTTCAAATTTAGTGGCTCTTACCATGCCAGACACTTCCTATCATCCAAGCAACTTATTAGTGTATCCACACCATATAAAAATGTCAAACTTTCGCAAGACTTAACACCTTGTCAGAGACGTAGTCGCACAAAAATACCAAAAACTGCTAATTCTAGTCAAGCTCTGGTACCCAAAACAGCAACACAATCTATTAGCGAACTGGCTACTGTACAAACACAATGGAATGAGGAATACCAAAGCCCACAAACTAGCCCACTCACACACAGACGTAGAGCCGATGACACGACGGTAGGCTTGGACAAATCGATGAACTACACTCAAAAACAGGCACACGATCTCCTAAAGGTGGTCTCACTGTCTACAGAAGTGGAAAGCCAGTCCCCGTCTTACCCCGTCACACAGGTCACCCCCAAACCAAGTGCTACGCTATCGACCCATCAAATTACTGAAAACGTTATTATGTCATCACCAGGTGTCACTCAGCCTATAAACATACCCAGCACCAGCCACAAGCACCCTGTTATCATAGGACCGCCCCCAAGCTTAGCGCGTAAACAGTCAAATCTATCCCACCTCAGCCAGTGCAAAACTTATATGCACCAAATAGGCAGATGATAAAGAGTACAGATAGCACTAGACACTCTTACACAAACCCCACTATGCACCTACCCAGGTTAAATAAACTGCCGAAAAGGCAATCAAGCAGTCTCACCAATAGACGAAAAAACAATACAAATAGTCAAAAGACCATTGCACCCTCGCAAAGTCACACTAGGGAAAATGCCAAACGTTATTTCTCAGGTCATCCTATGACCAAGTCAAATAACTACTCTCCAGGCGACCCACACTTCTTAACACTTCCGCGGTCACTAGCAGATACACATCACCGCCGGACCCCTCAACGATCACAGTTATTGGATAGGGAGCAAAATGGTAGTCACAGACTATGCTTTCCGCCTCACCCATACGCCGAAAGACGTGGGTCATACGCTTCACAAGGACAAACTTACAACAGATCCCCTAAAGAAAATCAAGGGGAATATGAATCTGTCTATGACCAAAATGCATACGGCAACCAGCGGACAGGTGTGCCATACAACTTATCAATCCCCGTTACTTCTTATGAACAGGGTTTTTTCGGACAGCCTACGGCTGCAACGCCACCAGTAATGCAGGTGATTCGGATGCTGTCGGATCATCTGCTCTCTACCCTGACCAACAGTCTCTATACCAATCACAATGTAGTGAATACCTCGCTCCTTCCGAGGTAAACAGTACCGAATCGTCACCCTGTACAAAAGGTCATGACATCGCTAGCACGATGTACGCAAAGGACGCCCAAGAAACGTACCAAAGTGCTGACTTTCTCCGAGATATATCTAAACACTTTTGTACTATTAACTCGCTCTCGTTTTGCCTGATTAACGCCCGCTCTATACGCAACAAAATGAAAGAGATTATGCTGCTATCTCTGATAAGTGGTCCGTCCGTGATAATGGTTACAGAAACTTGGTGTACCAATGATATTTGCGACGCAGAGATCTCCATTGACAACTATTCCTTGTTCAGGAAGGATAGACTGCATGGTAGGGGAGGAGGGTGCATTATCTATGTAAAGTCTGACATCACTGCTACGCAGTGCCCTACATCTGAGCTAAACGAGATTGACGACTCAGTATGGATTATCGCAAAACTTACTCGCTCCACTTCCCTCCTAATAGGATGCATTTACCGGCCCCCTTCCTCCTCAGTCGAATACGACGACAAGCTAACAAGCGTGTTCGCCCGTGTGGCAACACTACCACACACAGCGAAAATTATATGTGGTGACTTTAACATGCCAGATATAAAGTGGCGACCAATTAGCTATCCAGAGCGCTTTGATAAATTCATAAGCATTCTTGAAACAGAGGGTTGGCAACAACATGTGGAACACCCTACCAGGTACAATAGTGTCCTGGACCTAGTCTTCACAAACGGAACCACACCCACAAAACTCCAAGTGGGTACACAACTTCCAGGTAGCGATCACAAGGTTGTATATGGATACTTCAATATAACCAGCACAAAAGTGGCCCAAAAGTCAGGAACAGTACTAACTAGAAATTACAAGTATGCCAAATGGGACGAACTACAATCGTTTCTGCGCTGCCTAGATTGGAGCCCCTACTTTACCAACAGTTCAGCCAAAGAACTCTGTGATCTATTCTATGAATATATAGGCACAGCTCAAGACTATGTTGCTCCACCGCTCCGAAGAGAAATTAAGAAAAACAGAGCTGACTATATACCAAAGAAAGTACGCATCCGCATGCGAAACCATGTCAGAGAGTACTATAAGTCGAATGACTTTTCGTCGCTTGTCACACTCAAAGACACATACGACACATTCAAGGCAGAAAGAGTAATAGAAGCCGTTAAACAAGAACGCATCCAATGTAGTAAAACTAGTAATACAGAGGCACTAGTGAGACTGATGAAAACCCGGATAAGTAGCTCCAGAAATAGTACCCCTAGTTTAATCATGGACAACGGCATCCTCTACGATAACCCTCTACAAATCAGCGAGCTGTTCGGTTACCAGTTTGCTAGCTGCTTTACACAAGAGGACGAAATAAAAGTCATTGGTGCACCGTCAACACCAACTCACTCCATAAGTACAGTGCTCTTCTCTAAACAAAACATTTCTCTAGCTATAGCATCACTTCGAACCTCATACAGTGCGGGGCCTGATGGAATTCCAACCATCTTGTTAAAAAGAGGTGGCGAAGATATACCGCTGATTCTCTTGAAGCTCTTTAATACGTCCCTCTCCAGTGGCAATTACCCTGAGAACTGGAAACTATCATACATATGTCCTAAGCATAAATGTGGACCAACATCTAATATAGAAAACTACCGACCTATAAACATCACGTCAGTAGTATCCAGGACTATGGAAAAGGTGATTGTGAAAGCAGTTGTCGACTATATGACGACTAACCAATTACTCTCACCAGCACAACATGGATTCTTGAAAGGCCGGTCATGCACTACAAGCTATCTTGACTATCTAGACAACGTTACAAGCAAGCGTGACCAAGGCCTATTTGTAACTACCCTTTTCTTAGACTTCAAGCAAGCATTCGATAAGGTGCCTCACAAACGCCTGGTCACTAAGTTGCAATCATATGGTTTCCGAGACCCGTTACTGTCCTGGCTCAGAACATCTTTAGAGGGTCGCTTCCAAGTAGTAAAATTCAGTAATTGCTACTCCACCCCTAGACTTATACAAAGTGGTGTCGTCCAGGGTAGTGTGCTAGGACCGATACTTTTCCTAATCTATGTAAACGATATCTGCAGTGTTATCCGAAATGGCATACCCTACCTTTTCGCTGACGACTTGAAGATAGTCTACAGCTTTTCTCCTGCAGCACTAACACAGGGTTTCTCTCAAATACAAGAAGATCTGAAGAGGATATTCATATGGAGCGAGACCTGGCAGCTCCCTCTAAACCCAAATAAAAGTGGCATCCTCCATTTCAATAAATCCCACCCAGAAGTAACGCTACACTTGGGTGATATTGCACTGCAGGTATACAACACTGTGAAAGACCTCGGAATCACTTACTCCAGAAGTTTGACTTTTACGGAGTATGCAGACTCAGTAGTTTCCAAGGGCAGAAGACTCATCGGTCTTCTACACAGAAACATACTCATACCTGAGGCAAAACTTATACTGTACAAGGCTATGGTTCGCCCAATATTAGAGTACTGCACCGTTATCTATGGTAGCATGAATGTGTCGGACAGAATTCGAGTAGAGAACATTCAACGGAACTTTACTCGGCGCCTACTAATACATAACGAAGGACTTCCTTACGAAGCAAGATGCAAAAAACTAGGACTAGAATCACTCTGGCTGAGACGCCTGAAGCTCAACTTAACACTTCTTTTTCGTCTTTTATTTACAAACCCTAAAACGAAATGTGCTGTCACTTTTAAAACAACACAGGCATATAATCTGCGTAATAGCGAGAACATCATCCCAATAAATAAGTATCGCTCAAAACTTCGATGTAGGTTTTTCATAACGCAATACAGTATGCTGTGGAACAAACTTCCCGCTCCTATACGAGCATGCCGTTCGCTCGGCCAGTTTCAACGATTACTTAGTAAATTCCTCCTATCTAACGAATCTCATCAATTCGTTGACGGCCAAACCACAAACGGTAATGCCATGCACTAAGGTACTACTGGTACCTAGACTCAAGGGAGACTAACAGCAATGACATAAGTATACAATGCCGAAAACTAAACGCAATAGTTAAGTTAAAATCTAATTTCTTAGAAAAAAAATGACCAAGAGTGGACAGGAAGCGGAGTGCGACACGATATGCTACAGTGAACTTATTAGATACTCAAATGTAACCTACTTTTCTTCACAACCTAACCGATCTCACGACTTAACACCTATTTCCTAAAAATCGCCCCTTAAAGTAAACTCTCCACTCCGAAAAGATAAAAGAACTGTCTGTCGGTGCATTTTCATAGCATGCAACTCTTTATTATTTGCCCTTACATCTAAGTACTCTGCACCAACATAGTTTCGGTAGACCCGATATGGTAATGCTCAACAGGCAACACCATGATCATCCCCTCGTGACCAGATAAAGGGTGGTGGTCCTAAGAACAAAAAAAAACCACGAATTTCACCTAAATGTTTATAACTTCATCATACGCTTGTACATAGGTATATAACAAGTTAATACCTGGTCAAATATCCTCTAATCTTTCTATTTCGTAGTGATATCTTCAGCTTCAGACTGACTTTCATTACTGTCGTGCGCACCTTCATCTTCTTCCACCTAAGCTTACCTCTAAACAGTTGGTTCTGGACACTTCCTCAAGTAAGTTTAATAGTCAGTACAAACTCACCCAGATGTATCATGGTCGATCTACTCCTGCGTATTTTTGTGCTCCTGTTACAAATTTCGCCTGCTGCTCGCTTTTGTTATTCACTTTTCAGATTTACTTAACCAGTCCTGCATTCAAATGGAATCCTACAAATCGCATTCGTCAGTGGGAAATATTGGCACCGAAACCTGATGACGAACGCGCACACCCCAAGGTCATGACTGTGATGCGGCCTCACCTTCAAGAATATTGGATGATTCAAACGATGACCGGATAATCTTCAAATTCGAACTGAGCCTGCTTCAACATGCCTCCTATATGCCATAAATCACAGCATCTAATGTATAGCATAACATTGTACATAATAGTCATCTCTCATTACCAAAGTGATCAAACCTGTAAACTGGTTTGTATTCATGTAACCTTTGTTGCATGAAATATATTATTATTATTATTATTACCCCTTAATTCATAAATGAGTCCTGGTTCCCCTCCAACTGTGGCTGTGTTGTCGGGGATTTAAGTGGAGACGTTTTTGCTGACGTATCCAGCTTTATCGTCATTCCTGTGGAAGATGGGTTTGTCCTATGAGATGTACGGTCACTTACAATACCGGTTAATCTTTCGCTGCAAGAATAATTGACCGGCATACTATGGCGTAGCCTATCAAACCGTTGCATACACAGACTTAATGGATAGCCTTAGTCTACCCATGCAGGACTCATAGGGGAATGCGTCAAGTGACTGGAGTGGCTCAGGGAGTTTGGCTTTGCCAGAAATATGATTCATCTACTGTACAATGCAGACGAAGTAATGATCGTGCCAACGACGTTCACATTCATGCGGAAAGTTATCAGGACCCGCTGTGACCGCCTTCAAAAAGCCACGATGTGTCAAAGATCTACACGGCCGATCGACTGCTGTCCAGTATGCGCGAAAATTGGGGTGAAGAGGAGTTGGTGAAAGACGTCAGAGTACAACGAGTCCTAAACGGAGTAAAGAAGGTTGTTTTTTGGTGTTCTTTCAGGCAGAAGCATCGTTTGGCCGACGATAATTTTGTGGAAGCCCCATGTGTACATTGCGGTGGTCCGTCATTCATATCAACCGTGATTCCAGTGTTCATTACACCTTGGAATCAGTTCACTGAGCCCTTCCATTTGGTGATTAACCTCCCCAATAACCCCGGATATGTATATATATATACAATGCGAAGGTTTCCTAGGAAAGTATTTCACCACACAGAGCCGTAAGTCCCTGAAGGACCTCTGAGTTTAACGATGGGCATCCCATGCCTCTGATGCAGAGAAAAGATTCGCCTCTCGACCGCATATGGCCCTTACCATGTTGTTTGCATTCATCTTAATAGCGGCCTTAA